CCCAGGATCTCCAAGAGATGACCCACTGTAAATAGACACTGTAAATAATAAACATCACTACTTTTTTCCTAACCAAGTCTTGTCTTTTCTGGTTTCGCTCCATCTGGGTTCCTCGAGTCCTGACAGTTCTAGGAACATGAAAATTTAAATAATTAACAGGAGTGGATTCATTTATACCAACAAAATCCTCCTGTTGTAGCCAAGTTTCTGTCAGACAGAATAAATCAATATGATGATCAGTTATCAGTTCATCAACTAACAGGGATTTAGAGGAAAGAGATCTGATGTTCAATAATCCACATTTAATGATTTTATGATTTTGCTCTGGTAAAGTAACTGTGTTTATTTTAATCAGATTTTTATGGTTTATATTTTTAGAGTTGATTTTTGGTTTATTTAATTTGAGCCGTGGGCGAGTTGACACTGTTTCAATGGGGGTGTGGGTGGGTAACAGAGGAGAAGCAGCAGAGAGGTGTGGAGGACTACAACTCTGCTTCTTGGACTGGACCCTGGGTTGTCAATAATTTGGGGGATAAACAAAATCAGCCATTTTTCTAGAAAGAAGAGCGGCTCCGTCCAAAGTGGGATGGATGCCATCTCTCCGCATCAGACCAGGTTTTCCCCAGAAAGAACTCCAGTTATCTATGTAGCCCACATCGTTGTCAAAACACCACCTGGACACCCAGCGGTTAAACAACGACATACGGCTAAACATGTCATCGCTGGTCAGGTTCAAGTAGGTATAGCTGCAGGCAAATTCAGAAGCCGTATCTGGGGAGCCACATCTGATTGGACGAGGCGTATCCAGGGGATCATATCTGATTGGACTATAGGAAAATGGGCGTGTCTGGTGGGTCACATCTGATTGGACGAGGCGTATCCAGGGGGTCATATCTGATTGGACTATAGGAAAATGGGCGTGTCTGGTGGGTCAGATCTGATTGGATGATAGAAAAATGGGCGTGTCTGGCCGGCCACATCTGATTGGACGATAGAAAAAAAAGGCTGAACAAAAAAAGCCGTTTGTGTTAACCACAGACATATTATGTCTAAAAACAAGGCGTTATTGACAGATATGGTGTTAACCAGTTCGACATTAGCGGCGTCTCCATAACTTCTCTTTCCGCCTCTCTTAACACAGAACTTCTGGTTACATTTCAAAATAAGATCAACATAACTGGGTAGTGGGGAGGGCAAAATGTTTGTTTTTATTAATACCTAGTCAAAACATTAAAAAACAAAATCCATTTTGGTTTTTGAAAAATGTGAATAGTTACAATCGATTCATAAAGAAAGAAAAATAAAGTAAACAAAATATTACTGATACTCAAACTGGCCTTGGGACAAAGGATGTTTCCTTTAACTTCACATTTTCTTGTTCAACTTTTAAATCAGTCACTACAGATGAGTGACTGTCAGTTTCTGTAAGATTTCTGCAACTGGAGCAGGTATTTCTGTTTACTGGTTAACTTCCTCAGCTGTCTCACATTTTAAGGGTCAGTCCTACTCCATGTTTCAGCTCCTTTCATAGATCAGATTCATAGAAGAACTTCTAAAGAGAAAATTTTGTTTTTAGCGTTTGTTTTGGGCCATTATCTCCTTACAGGACTCATGATCTTTAATTGAAACCAGGCTTTTTGACAAATAGGAGCAGGTTTCACTTCAGATGCTTCATAGTTCATTGTACCCAGACCACACTCAAGCCAACCTGTGTCAGGTGCAGCTACAACCAAGAACTAAAGAGAATCTTCTTGTGTTTGACAGTAGATTTAACACTGGTTCTTTACCTTCAGTTTTAAAAAAAGAGTTGACGTAACATACCTAAAGTGCAGCAAATACAGTTAGCCAATCAGTGTTTGCCCCCCACAAACGCCTATTCACCAGAAACGTCCGCTTTTGGCCTGCAGAGAACCCCTTCTCGTCAGGTTGGGGAGGGGGCCGGAGAAAACTACGGAGTCCGACATGGTTTTAGCAAAGTCACACACCGAAGCAACATTCATTTTAGTGACCTCCGATTGGCGTAACCGGGTGTCATTACCGCCGACATGAATAACAATCTTACTGTATTTAGCTTTAGCCTTAGTCAGCAGTTTCAGATAAGATTCTATGTCGCCTGCTCTAGCCCCCGGAATGCATTTGACTATGGCCGCTGGAGTCCCTAAAGCCACGTTTCAGACTATGGAGCTGCCAATAATCAGGGTCTTTTTCTCAGCGGGTGTGTCACTGAGCGAGGAAAATCGATTAGCCTTAGCACTATGCTTACTCTGGACCATCACCCAGCCGGCCTGGGGTCCCGGCTGCTCGGTGTCTGCTGGAGGACCGCTAACGGGAGCTAGCCTCTGTGGTTCCGCGCTGTCTAAGTGGACCTGGCTAGCTACTGGTTTTTCTACAGCACGAAGCCGAGCTTCCAGTTCAGACAGCCTCTCCTCCAAAGCTACCATAAGACTACATTTGTTACATGTATCATTACCACTAAAGGAGGCAGAGGAGTAACTAAACATCTGACACACGGAGCAAGTGAAAACAGAGGAAGCCGGGAGAGAAGCAGCAGCCATGCTAAGCTAATGCTATCAGGAGCTAGCAGAGCCAAATACACCAATAGAAACCGAGAAGTGTTGAAAGATAAGGTGTTTTAAGCACTATCCAACAGTAGAAAAACAACTGTACTAAGTGTGTTTGTGAACTAGAATGAAAAACTGTGCAAAAGACAGATAAATACAGAAAACAGAGACGACTCGAGCAAACAATTCACTCGAACTACTGACAGACAAACAGGAAGTGACACAATACGTCTCACCACGAACGTGCAACGTCAGCTAGAGAACACTCAAAGCTCTTTACAACAATCTGTGTCTCATTTACTCTCTACTAGATCTATACAAAGAATAATCAGTGTTTTAACACATTCATGCACTGATAGGACACACATCGGAGGCAATGAGGGGTTCAGTGTCTTGCCCAGGGACACTTTGGCATGTGACTGCCGGTGGAATTGAACCCCCAACTCTTGCATTGGAGGACGACTGCTCTAACCACTCAGCCACAGCCGCCCCAAGCTGTCCAAAGGACATTACTCCAGAAGTTTAGTGGTTCATTCAGGTTGACAATCTTAATTATTGTCAATTGTCCTGTCCCATTTTGTCCTTTTTCAGAGAAGAGGCTTCTAATTGTCCTGACATGAAAAGAAAGAAGCAGGTCAAGATAATGGATGGATGGACGGATGGACGAATGGATGGATGGATGGATGACCTTTAATCTTGTTTGGCTCTTTGAAGTAAAATGTTTGGTGTTTCTGTACATACCAGTGCCGCCATCTATTGACATTTTTTATAGTACACTCTTCTATTGCCCAGACGCAGTCTTTGGTCTAGTACAGTGGCTGACAAACATTTCAGCTTCTGACACCAAAACAAATGACAAAAACTTGGAACCCCATCATTGGTAGAAATGTACAAACATTGTTAATAAATTAATTAAATAAGACTATAAGACAGCACAAACAGCTTTGAGACATTGTATTTGCTATCTATTTATGAAGAATGTTGATTAAATGTCTTAATAACTGTCACAAAACTATTAAATTTCCAAAACAATATTCCAAGACGCCTCTCTTGGTGTTGCATGACCCATAATGAGATCCCTACTGCAACTTTGGGATCCACTAGTCTAAGAAATAGAGCGACTGTGCTGCTTTCTCACATGCTCTCTCTGTTTAATTGGATTTTTTCAAAGCAGTGACCATTAGAAATTATTTACACGTATATTAGGTATGAATGTTGTATTTATTGGGGACTGCATAGAAAGGCAGACACCTAGCTATCAACTTTGATTTAGCCTGAACCACAACATGTACTCCCACAAATGTTACATCAAAATGACCAGCTCGGCACCGTGATGCGTGCTATTACTTTTATTGGCATTTCCAGTTACCATGGCGACGTAATCTGAAAACAAATACTCAATTTTTCTCACAGAAAAACAGAGAAGCTTCTAACTGCAACTCTGAGGTCACATGACCTAGAGTGGAGAGGTCTCTGAACAAAACTCAGGATGTCAACGAACAAACTCATCCTTCTACCACAACTTTTAAGATACACATCCATCCATCCATTTTCTTTACCCGTTTGTTCCATTTTGGGTCACG